GGAGAAGGCAACGCGTGCAGTAGTGGGTCTCGGAGCGGGTCCCGGAGAAGGCAACGCGTGCAGTAGTGGGTCTCAGCGCGGGTCCTGGAGAAGGCAACGCGTGCAATAGTGGGTCTCGGAGAGTGTCCGTGAAGAAAACATCATTTCCATTATAAAACTAACATGTTACTTGTCTTTTTCCTTTTTTCATTTTCACTCTGTAGATAGTAGGTAAAGGAAAAGTAGATAAAGCTGTAGCACTCAGCACGGCAGTGGCTCCAATCATAGTAGCACTTTTAATTTTTACAGTCAGGAGAATATAACTTAATAACTATGCGAATTTTATTTTCATTTTACTTAAGAATGTTTTTGAAAAAGCAGTAAAAAATATTGATTTTATTAAGTCAAGACTTCCAGATAACGTCTGTGATACACTAATGTGCAATGTTCGTTGTGAAGAGATCACTTCTGATTGTTGGAGTTAAAAGCTAAATAACTATTAAAACAAACAAACAAAAAAAAGAACTAGCATTGTAATGAAAGTCTGGTTGACAGACAGAGGATGGTCATTCAGACTTTGGTATTTGTCAAACATGTCCTCAAAAATAAGCTAACTAAACCTGTCTTCAAGGAAAACAAGCGAGTTTTTATTGAACATAAGAACATTTAAGTTTTCAAGTGAAAATTAAATTTTGGTAAACATGTATCTTCAGTTTTTGAGCTTGAGAAAATTTCAAAACATCAAGCCTTTTCTGGGATGACATTAATAATTGTTTTTAATATTGTGGAATGAAATATGTCAATATTTGGAAGACTTGCTCACAATTGAATGAGGACTGTTTTCCCAATGACCTGTCCAAGATGATAAAAAACCACAATGGATAATAAAGGTCTATTTCAATAAAGTTAAGATTTTATGTAACAGCCTAGAAAAAGTAGATGACATGGTATCTGGTATTGCAACAACCTTTAATAAAACATTTGCCATGTTTAGAGATAAAATCAAAGAATATCCACGTCTTGGTAAAAAATACTTCTTTTTTAAATTAAATCATAGCTGTGTACATTAATGCAATCATGGGGTACAATGTGCTAGTTTTACATACAATTTGAAATGCTTTCATCAAACTGGTCCACACATCCTTCATGGCATTTTCTTAGTTTATTGTGTTAAGACAAAAATTCTACACCTAGTAAATTTCACGTGTTTTTCAAGCCATTTTTTTATCCTATTAATTTCATACTTATTTAAAAATAATTTATTTTAATGCTTTTATTAAATATTAATCAATATTTTATGGCATTATAGCCATATGAAAATTAATTATTTCAGAAATGTATATTGAATATTTTGTGACGCATTTATTTACTGATATTTCTCATTGGAAACCTCTAGGATTTCACGGTTTTAATAAATGTTGATTACCTTGTGTCATGTGGCAGGTTTTAGATTAATGAAAACCATTACTTTTATTCTATAATATTTTAGAAATTATTTTAAAATTGACTTCATCTAAGTAAATACAAAGAGTTCCAGTTAGATACTCAATGCATAGAGTATTGAGAATGAAAACTGAGAACAGGAAATTCAAATATATTAGATCTTGACCCAAATTTTTATAATTCCAGATATTCTCTAAAGTGTTCCGCGTTAGTGCTTTATCTTTCCTGGCCTCTCTGTAATTTCCCAGGGTGCCCCTACAGTACATGGCATCACATTTAACAACAATCCTTGCTTTGAATCTGATTGAGCAGATATCACCAGTTCATTACCATTGAACCTAGGACAAATGGCCCTGTCACCCATGCTGAATAAAGCTTACCTAATGAGTGTGTGCTCTTCAGAAGGACCATCAGAGCCCTCCTGCGTGTGGGAACACTGCACAGCTTGGCTGCACCACACTTGGGGAGCTGTTGTTTAAAGTGAAATCACTAAGGAAAATAATAAAAATGCAAAAAAATGGCCCTACATAGACCGTGAAAAGGATACTTGTCTGCCCACTAAAGTTAGTCACGTGTTCAAGCTCAGCTGGAAGCATGCACATCTGGAGTCTCAAATATTTCAGTTTTCTGCATGTGCACAAGTAGACAAATTCAAGAATTTTAGCTTAAAAGAATACCTGATGCCTTGGGTGAGTCTTTTGACAAGTGACTTTAGCAGCTCTCTTTAGTCTCCACCGCACCCCGTCCACCTGCCCATGTCTATACACATTATAATGCTTCCTTGCCTGAGATTATGTTGTTTTGTATTTTTATTGAGGGCCACTGTCTAATTACATAGTGTAATGTTAACTATAAATGCTTGCTAAATTCTTACCACATCAACTGTTGAAGATAAAATAAAAATATTTTCCCTAGGATATATCTAAATCCACAAGTATGTATGTACATGTCTACACATATATAAATATGTATGTGTATAAATATATGAGCATGTGTGAGAAGATACACATGCAGTCAGAAAAGGTAAAATGTAGTGTTAATTTAGTTCAAGTGTTTATCCAAACGTTAATCACCAAAATATGTTTGAAGAGTATGCATGAACGCTCCACATTTGGAGAGGGGAAAGCAGCCAAGAGAGAATGAATTTATCATAGGTTATCATGAGGTCATAGACAGGACATTGCAGAACGGTGCGAACGAGCTATTCATTATGCTAGTTAATCCTGCCTACGTTCTGCTAACAATATTGATTCAGAAATAAGACATTTTTTAAAGTAGAAGGAAAAACAAGATTCAACATATTTGGAAGTGCATTTGAAAATGCTCATGCAGCGTCATTAGTGCAGGGCTGGACTTGCAGAGGAGGTGAAATAAGCATTTGTCCACTTCTATTGCCTACAGGGGAAAAGAAAAGATGCCCAGGTTGTAGCAGAAAACGTGCACCAAGAAGAAGTCAAGCTCTAAAACACAGGAGGTTGTTCAATATTCCTAATTGCAAAATGAATAAAGATTTGCTAATCTAGGTTCATAAATCTTGTATGGGCCTTGGCGGGAGAAGCGGTGGGTGCGTCTGTGAACACTCTGTGCACTTTTCTGGAGAACAGTCCACTGCTTACATTTAATGACTCCAGAAGGCTAGTCATTCTGTTAACAGGTGTCATGTGCCTCATGCCTAAAGTCCTATCAGGAACTTGCCTGATAAGTGGGAGTTAGGAGAGGGAGGAGATATTAAATCCAATCAGTATACAAGAGATATTTAATGAGAATCCTTTTAAGATACAATCGTTATTATTTTCAGGAAATACAAGTTAAATAAAAGCAGAGTCCATGGAACTCTTCTACATCATTTTTAGAGCATTTGAAAATGCAGCAATATAATCTGTGACCAAGGTTCAGGGCATGTAAGAAGATGTTTTGTTTTGCTCTTGTTTCTGAATGAGAAATGAGTACAGATGTCCAGTTGAACGTGGTTTAAGACAATGGTAACTGAGCGTTGGTTCCAGCTCTCTGGGAGAGATCAGACATACGGTACACTAACTTACAAACGCTTTTTCTTTCAAGGTAACTGAGCTGCACAACATCAAAAATATAACCAGACTGCCTCGAGAGACGAAGAAGCATGCGGTGGCGATTATCTTCCACGACGAAACATCAAAGACATTTGCCTGTGAGTCAGGTAAGCGGTTCTAAGCCGACTACCACTTGAGGAAACTGAGCTGCTTCTGAGATGGTGGCCCAAGTGGGTTCAGCTACACTGAGAACAGGATGGCTTATTGTAACACCCTGTAGAATGCTTGAGTAAGAAACTCAACATACTGGTCTCTGCAGAGGCTTTGGGTGCTGGTTGCCATCTGTCCGTGCCTGGATGTTGCTCCTAGGTGGTCTGAGGACTCTTGAGGTTTTTATTCAGCTTGAATGAAGGGCACAATATCTGGAAGGTGTTGTTAAGATGAGCATGGGACGAGATTCTGGTTCTTCCCTGGTGTAGCTGTTGGCATTTGATAGGGTCGTAATAATGCTGTTGGACAAAAGCACCAGCCTAGGTCCCCAGACACTTCAAAACAGATCTTTTGAGTAATGTGTTTCTTTCATGGACTGTCAGTATTACAGGTAAACATATTTCAGAGCGAATTTCAGTCTCCCACTACTTGAAGCACTGTAACATGATTGAACTTGCAACATTATTCATATCGGAACCCCTATATATAGTATATGAGTTGACTTACCATTTTTTAAAGATTTTCCTCAATTAAATGCCACATTTGCTTTATAATGAATGTTCTGAATGAAAGTTCTAAGGACTTGAGAGACATGACTTTGTATTGATAGGTGAGTCTTGAGGAGAAGCTTTCTTGCATATTTTTAAACAGGAAAATGCTTCTGGTTTTAAATAGTTAAAGTGTCTGAATGTAATTAATAACAGATTGTATTATGCTAAACTGATAATGTCACTTTCCTAACTAAAACTGTCCGCACCTCCTCACCTACGCATACCTTGGTTTACTAAACTGAATTGGACCTTATCAAAGCGTCCCTCTTTCCTTTACGGATTTTATCCATCGGTTCCGACTTATTTTTCGTCACTTCCCAGGTGACCTCACTTTGTCGTCTAATACTGACTTTTTGGAATCTGTTAATTGGTTTTATAAATCCCCGTTCTGTAATAGAACCTGTTCCAACCTTGCTGTATTAATATATTATTATCCAAAATTATTTCTGCCTTCCTCTTTGCTATTATAAAACTGTCGATCCATTTTATTTTTCTCTGAGCTAGTGTCTCCCGTTAAAACTAATAATAACCAGAAAGTTGATTTTCAAAAAAAGATAAAAGGTAAACTTCATTATTTAAATTTTTGATTTTTCGATGTTGTTTTTATTTTTGAAACTGTGCTGAGCAGTGTTTTGTATGTACCAGAATCCATTCTCTTCCAAAAGAATGACATTTAATAATTTTTATGTAAAAAATGTATGTTGTATTTGGGAAGACATTGACCTAACATTCATGTATATTTAATAACTTAAGCTTTCAATATAATGCTGCTTTCCATCTGATCATAATCTTGAATCCCACATTTTAGTAAAAACATTCTTTAATGTAATTTTCTATATTCACACACACACGTTTTCTGCTTTACATCATTATAATCTACTCCCCACTTAATTTCCTATTGGTTTTAAAATACACAAGGCTTGATAATATTATAAAGCTTATGAGACTGCACCCTTTCAAATTTCTGCATTCTAGGAAGTTGAGAAAAATATGTACACCCTAATTTTGTGTAAACATCTTTGCTGCTCCTTGGCAACAGTCTAGCTCATTTATCCTGGCGTCACCTACCCGTCCTCACCCTCATAGATCACAGGACACAACAGCAGTGAGCCACCTGAAAGCCAGCAAGGGTCTTGTTCACGTTCTGATGCTCAGAGACGTTTCAGATGAGCTGTATCATTTAGATACTACTTACGAGTTTTATGTTCACAGCCTTCCCAAGGGCTTAGTTTAGAAATCCTAATCGCTATAACATACTGAAATGGACAGTAGTCTTGAAAAAATTAAACTGTCTTACACTGTCCCCTCATTGTGGGTTTCAGAATGATGACATGATATGTGTTATCTCCTAACAGTGGAAGTGACAATACCACAATCACTGCCCCCATGCCATGGCTTGATAGGAATTTTTAGATGCTTGCCTGGTAGTATGATGGGTAATGAAGAGCCAGATTTAAAGTTCTCATGCAAAGGCTCCATTTTTCAATGCGGGCAATTCAACAGGAGGCTGTGTCGGCTACATGTTCTTTTAGTGAGCTGGGCACTCCCTCAGGGCCATTCTGTGATACTGCTGTCTTGCTAACTTTGAAATCATTATGTGGACTCTGAAATGCTGCGAGTGAACTCCCCACACATTTGTGTAGGAAATGCAAGAGGTCAGAGACGGCTTACTTCTTGACACAGATTTCATATTGGAAAAACTTAACCACTGTGTCTCTTAACTTACAATTCTGGTTGCCTTCCCCACAGAAAGTAATCTGTACATATTTCTTACCAGTGTATGAATTAGGAAAAAACTACTTTATGATCTACTTTGATCGTAACTTAATAACCATCGCAGCTATTGCTACCATGTTCATTTCCCCCTGAGTTCTAGACACCCTAAAATGGACACATCTGTGCGGACACATACTCAGTTCTGTTGAGTCAACAAGTTGAAATTCAGATGGATGCATTTGTGATGCAAAAGTTTAGGTAAACTAAACTTTGTATGT